CAAATTTTTTGATCCGAAGGAAGTAAGGTAATGTGATTGAGTCTCCTTAAGCATGATTTTTAAAAAGGTATCATTTAATGGCAATGCTGAGATAATTAAATGGCATGATGCTTGTAGATGTCTAATCACAGTATCTGGTACAAAATTAAACTCAATAAATAATGGCCGTAATATTGCCTTTCAGGCTTTTGCATGTCAGGTGCTTAGTTTTGTTCTGAAGATAGAAAGAAGAACAGGATATATTTCTCACCATCCGGGAGCTCCCATTGTCTAGTGGGGACACAGCATGAGTGTGATAAACGTGGAATGGTTCATTCTATCAGATTCAGGAATAGAAGAGCAGTAAATAAAATGATAATAACTTGCTGACATTTTCCAATGCATCAAGCACCAAGCTAAGCCCTTAGGCCTGCTCCCTACTCGCTGTCTCATTTAAAGTGCACCAGGCCCCTAAGAGCTAAGAGCTGAGACCTTAACCTCAGTTTTCCCTCATGTGAGAAATGAACAAGGCAGCTCTAAGCAGAGTCTTAAAAGACGACCAGGCATTACTGAGCAGACGGGCTGTGAAGGGTACTCAGGACACAGGAAGCAGCAAGAAAAATGACAAGAGGAAATTAAAGCAGGTGGCACCCAAGCCACAACATTGGGTGATTCAGTATGCACGGCCTGTTGATTGGGGGATCCACTATGTGCTAGGTATTTAGAGAAAGAGGAAGGGAGAGAGAGAGAGAAACATCGATGTGAGAGCTGAACATCGATCACTGCCATCTACATACCTCCTACCAGGCATGTAGCCCGCAACCTGGCCGGTGTGAGCTCTGACCGGGAATTGAACTGATAACCTTTTGGTACTCTGGATGGTGCCCAACCAACTACACCGGCCAGGGCAGGGTTGGTTTTGGTTGGTTGGTTTATTTATTTATTTATTTAAAATACTGGTGGTATTGGGGTGGGGTGGGGTAGTACAAACCACAGACTGAAATTCCCGTTCATGTAGACCTTATCTATTTTTTGGAGAAAAGACACCCAAAATAAAATAAGTACACACACATTCAGGTAAAGTAAGAAATCCTTTGAAAGTGAAATATAAAATCATTCAGTAAAATATGGAACCTCTAAGTCTCAGTTCTAATGAGCAAAATGAAGCAGGAAAGAGGTCCGGGTGTGTTGAGAGATGGGACATTTTCTGATTTTATTTTATTTTATTTATTTATTTTTAACCCTCACTCGAGGACATTTTTGCATTTATCTTCACACAGAGCGGGAGGGAGAGAGGGAAAAAGAGAGAGAGAAACATTGACATGAGAGAGACACATCAAGGGGTCACCACCCACATGACCCCAACTGAGGCTGGGGACAAACTGCCACCAAGATACATGCCCTTAGCGGGAACCGAACTTGGGTCTCTCCGGTCCGCGGGCCTACACTCCAACCGCTGAGCCAAACCGGCCAGGGCTTTTTTCGGATTTTAAATAGGAAGTCCGGGAAGGCCCAGCCAAGCAGCTGATGTGAGAATGAGCTCTGAAGGGAGCGGGTGCACGTTGGAGATGGCCAGGGCAGACCTCCACCCCGTAGAGGAGACAGAATCCTCAGAGCCCCAAGAAGGAAGGAAGGCAGACCTAACTGGGGAGCAGAAGGAAGGTCCTTCGATTAAGCGACATGGAGGCCATTGGCGACCTTGGCAGGATCATTTGGAGGAGACTTATCTGAGCCAAGCCCTGGTCAGAGAGAACTCAAGAGAAAGACGGGAAGAAAAACTAGAGACTAAGCGCTCAGGTAACTTTTCAGAGGACAGAAGGAAACGGGGCCATCTCGTGAGGTTAAGAAAACTTTTTCCAATTGAACATTAAAGTGGAGGGGAGAAAGGAGGGAGAAAGGTGATGCAGGGGAAAAGGGGAATTCAAGAGTCATATTCTTACGAATAGGCAGGGCAGGGGTGAGACTGGGTGCAAGGCGCATGCGGCCCGTGGGGAGCGTGAGCAAAGCGCAGAGGCCTCAGCCAGAGGTTGTGCTCGACTCTGCGGGGACCCGGGCAGGAAGGCTCCTCCATGCCAGGCCCAGGGCTTGGGCTCGTCCTCTTGGAAATGAGGTCTTCAAAGGGCTTTAGGCACAGGAATGAAACGTTCCAATGAGCTTCATCGGGAGGGTGAGAGGTCTGCTGAGCTGAGGCCTTGGTGGGATTTGAATAAATGAGAGCATAAGAAGGAGAGAACATTCTATTTTTTTAATGTTTTTACTGCTTTTTCAGAGAGAGAGGAAGGGAGAGAGAGAGAAATATTGATGAGAGAGAACATGGATGGGCTTGCCTCCCGCATGCCCCCTACTAGGGATCGAGCCTGCAACCCAGGCCTGTGCCCTGACTCAGAATCGAATCGGTACCTCTCAGTCCCCGGGGCAATGCTCAGTCCACTGAGCCACATGGCCAGGCAAGAAGGAGAAAATATTCTAAGCAAGAATATCAACAACAGTGATGATCCGGAGAGAGAATGAGTTTGGCATGTGGGAAACCAGTAGATAAGAAGTCCGTCTGTCAAATACCTCTGGGAAAGCCTGGAAAATGAGAATTATATCTAAAAGGCTCTGGAATGACTCAGCTTACCGGTCCTGACTCCGCTACATACTATTTCTATAACTTTGGTCATGGTACCTGACTTCCTTTTATCTAATCACTCCCGATAAAAAATAGGGGTAATAATAGTACCTCCCTCATCAAGATAATTAAATTATATAATATACATAAGGTATTAATTTTGCGCCTTGCAGACAGTAAATTCTTATGAAGTGTTAGCTATTATTATATGTAGTATCTTGGGAGCCGGGAGAGTTGTGAGAAATTGTCCCCAGGTTTATGGCTGTAATAAAAGGAAACATGATTGAAAGCACTATGATTTCAGGAGGCTGATTACATTATATAAATCTAAATATTGATCGCTCATATACAAATGAATAATTAAAAATGCCAAGTCAGATGACAGGATTCATCTAGACTAAACTTTGAGATAATATGAGGTCTCTTAAAATGCCATAATTAGGACATTTAAGCTCTGGAAATGGAAGGATATTTATGAGTAGCACTTGAAACTAAAAAAATAAATAAATAAATAAGGCGCCGTTTAAAATAAACAAAATGCCTATCTTCCTTCTGCTGCCAACTTTTCATATTTTATGAATTCAGATGGCTAGGAACTAAATTCAGTGCTTAAAAAATGTATTATTAATGGTCATTTCTCTGTAATGAGAGTTAACTGGATGTGACAGCTAGCATCGGCATACTGCAGAATTCAGAAAGAACATAGCCTTACACATTAGCCTACTTCAGAAAGGGTCTTTGTGTTTACCAGAGACTCAGATTATAAATAGATCCTTATTTCACCTGTCACACTAATCGATTGCTACCTATGTGTTCCTTCATCTTATTTTAAAATGTATTTTCTTTAAAGTGAATATATGCTCAACTAATCAAATTGAGCAGGGAGTTATTTTTCGAGGTTTCCAGTCCAATAATAATGTACATATATAAACTGTCCAAGGATATCATTTAGTTCTATTCCATGCATTGAGGACCACACAGCAGGTAGTTTTTTTTAATTGTAATCATAATGCCTTACTCTTGGGGGTGGGGGGGACTACTGAGCTAATATCTGTAACTAGAAGTGGAAAAATAATTGATTTAGGTTTTGATAATAGATTTAACTCAACATTAAGAATTTTTGTCAAAGGGGGTGTTGAATGGTATCTAGTAAATTCACAAAATGCCTTCTTTGATCAAGAACTACAAGGAATATGAGCAACAAAAATTAAGAGACTGCCCTGGCTGGTTTGGCTCAGTGGTTGGAGTGTCGGCCTGCGGACCAGAGAGTCCCGGGTTCGGTTCCCGCTAAGGGCACGTACCAAAAAAAAAAAAAAAAAAAAAATTAAGAGACTACCATAGAAACAATTAGATAATTATCAGGCAGAGCCTTTGTGTTCAGTTCTCAAAATATGGAATATCCCCAAATTTTAAGGATTGAACACACCAATGTCAATCAAGTTTGCAAGAGAGATGTTATTCCTACGTTGACATAATCTTGGATAAAAATGAAACTTAATTTCTTAAAATGTACTTCATTTGGTTGAATGAATTTATGAATGAATGAGTTGATAGAATTTATTTAAGTGAATGCAACCTATCAGATTATTGGGCAGAAAATGTAATTTAAATATAATTTCTCCATTAATTGGTTTTAATGGTTGGATAAAATGGCTCATTGAAGAGATTATATTGTAGGGCATGTTTTCTAGTGGCAAATAAGTCTATGAGAACATCCTTGGAGTATAAAAGAGTGATATAAGAATTTTTTGGTGGAAATTTAGAGATTAGAGATAAAAAGATTAGCCAGTTTGATAGAACTGACGATTAAAATGTTCTGAGGAACCGAGAGCATTTCCATGATGGACAGGTATGTTTGGCATCTATTTTCTTTTCTTTTGGCAACAGAACTGGGTTTTCCTTTGGGAAACGACTCTTCCCCCATTGCACACTGTCGTGTTATCTTTGTATCGGTGTGACACAGGAGGAAGATGAAGGTATACAAGATCACAGAAGACTTGATGACTGAGGTTCAGGGCCAGGCTTTGGCCCAGTGTAGCTCTAGGCAAGTCTATGAAGGAATGGTTCTTGTTTTTAGAATAAAGCCAATACTAGCACTAATATAGATGGAACTCTAATACAAATACCTTGCAGGGTGATTTTGAGGATTATGTAAGTCATGTGTGAGAAAGGATGGCTACAGGAATGTAAAGAATACGCAGGGAATGCTTGCTAATGCAGACCAGCATGACCAACTGTGAGAGACAAGCTTCATTCCAGGTTTAAAAAAAAACCAAAATGTCGGCAGTGATGAGTGAATTGTGTGGTCTGTGCAGGAGTCCTCAACAGATAGTTTTAAAAAATGATGCCAGTGCCTGGCCGGTGTGGCTCACAGGTTGAGCATCGACCTATGCACCAAAAATGATGACAGGTGTTGTTAGAAGGGAGAGAAGGTCAGCACTCCCCTTGACAAGAATGGAAGAGGCTGTCGGGCTAACAACACACATGGTTAAGGCATTGCCACCTACTTTGTGGCATCCAACCATCGTTTTTATTTGTGGAATATAATGAACAAAATAAGCTGATGAACAAAATAGACCCAGGGACATAGAAAGGAGTATGGTTCAGACTGATAAACCTCAGACGAGAGGGACAGGGGGGAGGGATGAGATAAACCAAAGAACTCATATGCACGTATGCATAACCAATGGACACAGACAACAATGCTAGGGGTTGGGGGATGGGATCAGGAGGAGGGTGTCTTGGGGGGGGAAGGAGAAACATCTGTAACAAATCTAAATTAATTAATAAAAAATAAATAATTAGCCCTGGTTAGTTTGGCTCAGCAGCTAGAGCATCAGCCCAGAGACCAGAGAGTCCTGGGTTTGGTTCCCGCTAAGGGCATGTACCTCGGTTGAGTTTGTCCCTGTCCCCGGTTGGGGTCATGTGGATGGCAACCACTTGATGTGTCTCTCTCACGTTGATGTCTCTCTCTCTTTTCCTCCCTCTCTCTATCTGAAGATAAATGCAAAAATGTCCTCGAGTGAGGATAAAAAAATTTTTTTAAATTAAAAAATAAATAAATAATTAAAAAAAAAAGATGACAGTGTATTTTCACCCGTGGGTGGCCTTTTCATTATTGATATGAGGGTAATAAATGGATATTATATAAAATGAGGGATGAGATTGTTGCCCATTTGACACTGCCCAGGAACCAGGTTGATATTGGGGTGACATCTGATACCCCAGACATGATGCAGCCTGGGAGGGTTTGAGAGGAGAGTGCAGGTCTAGTGGGCTCTGACGTCATGTCTGATTCTGTCTTCCTTTTGTAAGCGAGGCAAAACCACTTGCCCAGAGCATGTTTCTGTGGATTGTGAGGTGCCCCGATGACAGAAGAAATACAGCTTCTTTCACATTCAGGTTCTTTAAGTAGCCTTGAACATCACGCACAGCAGAAGCGGTACAGGATTTGGATGGGATGGGGGGGGGGTACTTACTGTGTTGATTTAAGGGGTGTGTGAAAACTTCATGCAGATTTAAATTTCCCAACCTTGCAAATGGGTCACTCAACTTTTCAAAAACAGACATTTCAGGAGGTACATTAGTCATAGAGACCACAGAATGTAGCTTTTTATGTTGATTGTTTTCTTTTACATTCTGTCCAACCCTGAGTCAGAGTCTAACAGGGTGATCCATTCCTGCCCCCAGCCATGTCTGTGGAAGCCCAGGCCTCCACAGTGGAATAAGAATCAGGTCTTTGAAGTAAGAACAGCCTCGGCTCAAACACCAAGGTCCTCTCTTCTCAGGATGGCCCATCGATCTGGGACCATTTACCACTCCTTTCTGAGCCTCGGTTTCTTCAACTGTGGACTTAGGGACGAGCAGTGCCCTCACAGTGTGCTGGTTAAGAGAACACGGGGAATGTATGTCAGTACTTAGGTCCGGTGGAGTGCATTTTATTGTGTATTAAATAACTGCAATTATTATTAGCCCATTCAGCAGCATAGGGGAGTGAAGAAGTCTCGTGTTGAAAAAGGTGCCTGCCAAGTCATTATCTCCTACCGAGGAAGCAGAGATTCCCCAAACAAACAAAAAACAACCAAGAAACACATCAGCCTGGATGTCTAATCCAGAAACCAGTCTGTCCTTTGGCTTCTTGCTTCTAGTTGAGCCTGTCTTAAGCCCAAGGGAAAAATTTTATTCTCACTAAAAGTACAGCTATGCTTTCTGTCCAAGTTATTATTGTAGAGCTTATTTTTCTTCTTCTTTTGAAACCTTTGTTGCAGATGAAACAGTTAAATGGAATTCAAAATAGTAGCATGACCCAAAATTTTGCCACTTACACACTTCTGCTAAAACTAGTATACTCTTCCCCACATGGAGATGTGTAAGAGAGATGTTTCCTTAAAGCAGAAATGTTTTCCAACCACTACCTCCAAAATAAAGCAGAATCTGAGGACAGAACACAAGTTCTTTCATGATCCATGTCCACCTTTGGATGCTAGGCCCTACAAAGCATTTCTTCAGTCCTGACAGCCTATTTGCAGCTTCTCAAACAGACAAATCTCTCAGTAATCCATGCCTTTTCCTATCCTTATTCTTCATAATGCCATCCATCTGTCCTTCCTACACCTCATCAAGCTAGCCAGTTACTGCCTGTCCTTCAAACGTCATTCAGGGACACCCTCCTCTGGGAAGTGTGTCCTAGATGTCCCCCAGCCCCCCAGTCTCGCCAAGTTTCTGGCTCTTCCTCTCCTTAGTAAAAGCATTTCTTGCAACCCTACACCATGAAGCTTACTCTGTGTTAGACTTGCCTGTTTGGTTAGATCATTTTCCCTTTTACCTGTGATCATGTCTGCCTTTCTCATGTGTACCTGTCTCCCTAATTCATTTGTCCATGCCTTGAGAACGAGGTGAGTGTCCTCATCTCCATACAGGGCCAGGCACAGAGTGGTGACACAGTAATTATTCCTGTTTGGCCGTGGATTGTGCCCACCATGAAGCTGTTATAGGTGACACTAATGCTAAAAGATGCCAAAGAGTCGCTGAATAAATGCATATAGAGCAGGTTATTGTATCCACAGGAGAAAAGGTTATTTTCAGAACTACTGCATATTTTGTGTCAGTAAAGATGAATTATCACACATAATTTCTTTACAGTCAAAGGAAGCTTACTTCCATGATGAGAGGCCCTCCTTCCCCCCCCCCCCCAAATAAGAAATTAAACCAGGAGAAACATTTGCATTTTCACATCAGTCTTTTCTGAATATGCATGGCTGGTTGAATTCTGTCTGACACCTTCACAGAACTCGCTCAAGGAAGCTTTCCATTACCAAATAAAATGCATCCGTTCTAATGAAAGGTACACAAAGAATACTGCCCGGGCAGGAGAAGTAAGGTGGCGAGAAGTAAGGAGACAGAGCTTCCATGGTAACCCTGCCAGGGACAATGCCATGGATTCATAAGGTCCCCGCTGCTAGGTATTGATTCCATGCCAACAAGCTTTGAAAACTGTCCATCATTTCACAAAGCTATTTATAGCCCAAGTCCAGCTAGACAGATAAATGGGGCACACTGTAACAATTACTAAAGAGAACAATAAAAGAGACACCTTCTTTTCAGTTCACTTGGCCACTGATGCTCAACAAGGCTTAAATAACTAGATGGTAAACATATGGGCAATTTGCTGAAATAAAATATCTGTAACAGCTCTTTTAGTATCAAGTATCTACCGAGGGAGAAAAACATTACAAACTCAAGTCCCCTGTTGCAGGTACCACATCACTGCACAGTATCAGAACTTCATCCTGCCTCATTGCTGGTTGTTAGCATCCAGGTTTATCAGGCAATGTGTCAGAATATTAAACACACGGGAAAGAAAGTGATAAATGAATGCCATATGGAAATAAAGATTTGGAAACGGAGACCAAGCTTGGGTAGCACACTCATTTTTCAGGCCCCTCAGAGCATATTACCAGTCCCCTGGTTGGGATGCTGGTGAGACAGAGAGCGAGCTGCACACCTGTCCTTGGAGTTCTGTACGCTGGGCTTGTGCTTTGTAGTGTCTCATATTCCTGACATTCAGTTTGATGCTGAACAGCCTAGCAGCACCCAAGGCTGACAGTCGGTGTTTCACTGGAGATGGATGTTTGTCTGTGTGGTGATGGTGTTTGCTATTCAGGCAGGCGGCCACTTGCACCACGCCAACTGCACCCATATCCTGGTTTAACCAGTTGGCTGACACAGTCACTTCGAGTTTTTCACACAGTTGCTCCTGAATTGTTGTCTAGGTGACACTCAATAGCCTGCAGATTTAGAAGTCAGTTCTGATATGACCATCAAATTATCCAGTAATTCTTTTAGATTAAACCAAGTGCACATTTCCACTCAGTTTTGTTTTTTAAGATCTTTAGATTTCACCCTGGCCAGTTTGGTTCAGCAGTTAGAGCATCGGCCTGTTGACCAAAGGAAGGGGCATGGGTTCGATTCCACTCAAGGGCTTGTACCTGGGTTTCAGGATCAATCCCCGGCCCTGGTCAGGGTTGTGAGGGAGGCAACAAATCAATGTGACTCTCTCACCTCGATGGTTCTCTCTCTCTCTTTCTCTCTACCTCTTTCCCTCCCTCTCTTCCACTCTCTCTAGAAATCAATGGAAAACATCCTTGGGTGAGGATTAACAACAAAAAAAAGATCTTTAGATTTCAAATTTTCATTTCTTGGCTAACAGAAAGTCAGTGCTCTCTATTTTTAATGTCTTTTCCAATATTTCTTGGTACCTAAAGCCATAATATACTCCTTTCATAAAAATGCTCCAACGAGGACACTGCGTTTTAATTTGCTGCACAATATCATCTCACAGTGTGGAAACCAGACCCCTGTCCCGAGAGGGTGGGATGTAGGCAGCAAGGGCTCATCAGCTGGGTCTAAGCTCTCGAGACAAAACGAAGGCTCTTTTCAAAAGACGGTGTGTGCTTCCTGTCCTTGCTCTGGATTTTGTCCTCACAGAATTGCATTGTTGCATTTGTATGGCCAGGCTAATAATGTAAAATGAAAGAAACCATTTTTAGGCTTTTGTAGCACCCTAGTCTGTGGCTATGTAGACAACAGAGGGTGAATGATTCTTTACTTAACTTCTTCATCCTCCAAGCACAGTTCTTCCATCACCCACCCACCTGAACTCTTCTTATATATCCCAAACAGAAAGACACGTGCTTGGTCTTTCTCTGGAAAAATTTGGTAAATACTTTTATTACTGCATCTGTATTTCATATTGTAGTTATAAGTTTCTGGCCCCTACACATACACACACACCACCACCACCACCACCACTAAAGAAAAATACTTGACCTTAGTGACTGGATCTTCATTGCATTCTAGTGTCTAAGAAGAGAAAATGAATATATTCTAATTGGAAACCTTTTATGACCAGCGCAGAGCAATGACACCTGTAACCGTTTCATATTTACAGTGGCTTTTGGTGGTAGACATTATTCCCACTTTACAGATGAGAAAACTGAGGGCCAGAATGCCCCACTGTTTTGAAAGTAGGAA